ATCAGAAGTGCTATCCGAGGTGTTTTAGAAAAATTCCGCCAATAAAACGAAACTGTAACGATCATTGTGGACCAGAGTAGTACAGGATATTCAAACATACAGTTCGTCTTACTACGTAGTACTTCAGTACCATGGGATTTTGCTTGATTCATTGCTTGTTCTTGCCTTGCCTTGATAACTGGAATGCAGAGCGTATTGGGAGACGCCCACTGGGGTTTCACGTGTTGGCTTCTCAATCGAGCCTCAAAACTAGACCGTCGACCGCCGTAAGCGAAACACAGCATATCGGCGCTCAAAATACATTACCACAAATATATCCAAAGTTAATTTCCCCCATTTAGTTGTCGCATTGACGCTGAAACCCTCTCTAAAACTGCTGCACTAGCTACAGTACTGCGGTCTGCATCGTTGTTGCATTTGTTCATACGCACACGCTTGGTGGTTCAGCGTCTTCTCGAGCGGCTTTCCTTCGAGCGGAGTGTACAATGAATGCCGTTAACATGACAATGCCGAATCCGGAGAGCCCCAAGTTGATCCAAAACATGGGTTGCAGCGTGGCGAAAAGGGCAGGGATGACGGGCACAACGATGCGTGCGGCAGAACCTACAGAACCAAACACCCCCATCCACAGGCCTTGGGGCTGGGCGCCAAGGAGCTTCGAAAATGCTGCCACTGTCACCGCCGTAAGAAGTGGGCCCCCCACAGACCACACCAAATAAATGGCTGTGCAATAGACGGACCACTTTGGCGGTTCCACGAGCAAGAGCGCGTTCCCGACCGCAACCCCCCCCAGACCAAGCACGAGCCATGCAATGTCGGCGAGTGCATCCCGCCACAACTCGACAGCGACATACGTGAGCAGCCCAAGGAGACCCATGAAGAATTGAAAGGCCGCCACGGCGTGCACAGGGTCTTGGGGGGACGTAGCTGATACCGCTTGAAGTGTTTGAAGGTGCAACGGCACGAGAACGGTTTCGAAAGAGGCGATTACCCCCCGACCTACCACATTGAGCAGGAGAAAGATGGCGATGCCCCAACTGTCCCGCTTTAGAGAGTCCTCATCGGTCAACTTGGCGTGAGGGGTCGCATCGTCCTGCGACGACAGGGATGGGGAATCGCTCGCTTCAATGGAATTGTCAAACATAACCAACATGCACACGAGCGAGAGGAGGTTCAGGGCTGCCAAGAGTAGCCCCGGCATCGTGAACGCATTGATGGGCACCTCCCAAATGCGTATGTTCAAGGACGCAAACAAGCCACCGATGCCTGGGGACAGCGCGTACCCGAGAAATACCACCACCGCCAATCGGTTCATGTACTGAAGTCGGTGACGCATGGGCGTCATCGCAGCGACATTGGCGCGGCACACGCTGAGGTTGCCCGCCCCAAAGCCGACAAGGAAGCGGCTTGCATACAGCCATACAAACGCGTTGGGCGTTGTGTCGGTGGAGGCAGGACTTGACTTAAAAGACGCAGGTGCAACATAGAGGAGGTTGCCAAAGATGCCAATAATTGCACACACGATATGCACCGATCGAAACGAGAACCGATCGCAAAGCCAGCCAAGCAGCACCGACGACGCCAGCCGACCAATGCTGAAGATAGACGTGGCTCGACCCATATCTTCGAGGGAACCCCCTAGGGACTGGCAATACAGGAACAGCGTGGGCAGCACCAGACCCCGAGCGGCCTCGGCTGTGAATTGGGACATGTAAATCGCGCCCATTTGAACATGCCACTGGCTCGTTCGCGGCGCTGGCCTTGAAATGACATCGTTGTCATGGACACTGCAATACGGGGTCTCGGATGCAAGATGTCGTGAAGGAAAAGGCGGCGGCGTCGGCATTTTTGCTGGCAGTGTCGTAAGAACGTCGAACAACGATGGAAAATTCGAAGCGCCGCGATGTTCGAAATACTGGTTGAGGTGAGGGCGAATCCAATTGGACGGTCACTGTCGTCGGGTTGTGGTGTTGTCTGATGAATATGGTACTGTGTCACGCTGGACCATGAGGATTTGGAATGGATATTCTCGGGTATGCCACTCTGGTGTTGCCACCTCACTTTCGTCCGAGGAGGGGGCCAGTTGCCCAGCTGGAGCCGCAGTCGACGAGACCGCGGTCGAGATGGCCAAGAGCAAGCACGCAGGGGCGAAGTACTTCATAGCTGGCAACTTGAAGAATGACAAGACTTCCAAGAGGTCGTAAAGTCAAGAGCCATCCAACAAGACCCCCGGTTGGTTCATACTCGCGTCAGTTGTGCG